TTATTATTATTAATATCATTATTATCATCATTATTATTATCATCATCATCATCATTGTTGTTGTTGTTGCTGCTGTTGTTGTTGTTGTTGTTGTTGTTGTTGTTGTTGATGTTGTTGTTGTTTTTGTTATAATTAGTATTGCTAATAGTGTTGCTGCTATTCCTATATCAATATCAATCATGCGCCATAATGAGAAAATCAATATTCATCTAAACTTTATAGAACGACCCTCATTCTGATTTTCTTCAGGAAACAGGAGATGCTCATAGCAGGACGCCATAAGACACTAGCTGTGCCTACAAGGCACTGTCTCTCTTTACAAAATGTCCCCATTTTACAACTTCACTTCCTGACTTGGTCTTTACAGCGTTATCTCTGACATTTTAAAGTAAAGAATATGTCAAAATTCAATCGCTCAAGTAGCCAACTTACCACTTTGCCGTTACAGAGCAAAGTTTCTGTAATCCGACGTGGCAGCAAACATGATTGCCTCGTAAGCTGTTTGAATAGTGGCAAGCTCTTCCAAACGGCTATCGTGCTTCGAAAAATCTCACTCTAATAGTGCCTTGGCATTTTTTTTTGCCGGCTCTTTGTCGACGGTTCTAAAAGATAATGCACTTGAGGGTGAAGATAACAGCGCGTTGTATCCACAAGACGTATGAATTTTAACACAACATCTAATGTTTATCTATCTATCAAACACCACCTCTGAAAGCATCGGCTATGTTATGTAAATCATGTGTTATTCACATAAATAGTATAACAGACACAGTAGAATTGATTTTCAACACCTTTAGTATAATTGATTGTAAAATGTTGAAATATATGTACAACAGTTCAGAGTAGAATCGTTGTTATCATGAACATCCAGCTCGCTTGAGAAAATATCATACCGCCTTTGCATAGAATGACCGCCTTATGCACTGACTGAAGGTTAGATCCCGTTGCTTCTTATATTTAAATCCGCCACTACAGCACCGCAGAAATTTAAACGATCTGTTCCTCTCGTCGAACGCAACTCTTGCTATGAGTTTGTTTTGGTTTGCTATTGGCACCGGACAACTTAGTGAGTTGGGCCTGCAAGCAAGAGCAACGAAAAAATATGTTTACTTAGTGTACACACACAAACGCACGCACGCACACACACAAACACACACGAGTGATCGGGAAAGTTAGGCCGGCTACAAAGGATAAGGACACTTCCCGCCACGCGAATTGATTCGATTTTCTTTGGTCCATTTTCAGAGACGTCAAAAGTTGTCGAAACAGCCGCGAAAGGACCTTTGAATTCAGCGTTCTTGCTTTTTACACCCGTATTTAATGTCAAATCGAAGTGGTGTAGATAATCAATGTGAAATGAATCCCCTAGAATCGAAAGGGCGACCGTCGTTGTCTGTTCAAGTCTCTAGAGCATGCCTCGGGTACTGCACCAGAAAGCACTGTGACTGTGTCTACCTTGGTGGGGGGCTATTATGTCATTTGTAGGAGTATTTTATTCTTGAATTTAAGATCATAAGCCGATATTGCCAAATCAATCAATACAATAATTCAAAAGAAAATTGTGAGACTATCATATTGCAGCATTCCGTATATATAGTACGGTGTCCCTTTTGACTTAGAACTAGGTTTAGAAACTTCGCAAGGGGAATTAATTCTCTATCACACTTGTTAGTAAAATTATTTGTTTACTCTGGGACGGGAAAAGAGATAACCAGGTAAGTATTTATTTACCTTTAGGATTTTGAATAAGTTTGTGGACGCTTTGAAGTCATAAGGGTTCCTGCAAACGACTACTTGTCGATTTCGGCGAGTACTCATCAGTACCTTAAAATTACAATGTTCTGATTGACGTTTTAGGCCGTTTTGAGTTACTAAGACTATGTTTTCAAAATCGTAAGGTTATTCGAAATAGTTATCACGACATTCAAAGAACTGCATTCCAAAAACGTTTAACATGTTGGGAAACTCAAACTTTTTAATGTTAATTTTCTCAAAACAAGGTACTGAGCAGATAGAACTTTGTAGTTCTGAAGTAGCGAAGTACTGACTCAGAGGCTTCTGAATAAGTTCAAAGACGTTTTAGCAATCACAAACATTCCTGTCGGTGAAATAAATGTTCCCTGTTTCCTACGGGCGACTCCTGGTCGAATTCGGCGACTTCTAGATCTAGTGTCGAATGACAACAAGACATCGTTTTCGACTTCGACACTCTGCATCGTGAGCACACACCACTATTGGGAAAGGAAATGCAGTAGTAAATGGTTGTCTCAGACAGTAGACAGGACGGATGGCCTGAAGTGGCCTCTCACAGTATGGGTGTTTAATAAGTAATCATCATTGTCTCGCTCTCTTCGGCAGTGGTAGTGCTACAGTGCCTTCTTTCTTTATTACTCAAGACTACCGCCCCTCCCTCTCCAAGTATGAATGTGTGTGTAATATACTAGTGTGTGTAGCTTGTGGATGTGTTAGTGTTAAATGCTTGTGCAGGCGTGTGTTGGGGCGAAAACGAGAGACAAGCAAAGAAAGAGAGAGAGAGATAGAAAGAGAGAGAGATAGAAAGAGAGAGAGAGGGAGAGAGAGAAAGGGGGGGGTTGAAATGGAGAAAGCTAGAGAAACACGGAGA